GTGCATGTGCATTGGTTTGTTCTGTGGTGCAGAAGGTCACTATGAGTAGATGCAGACTCTAGGGCATCTAACAACAGCAACAACAACAATCACACCGCTTTAAGTAAGTGCTTTTATCCCTACTTTACAGATAAGAAAGCTGAGCTTCCGAGAGGTTAAGAATCAAGATCTTGATTACAAAGATAGTAAATGAATGAGCCAGGATTCAAAGTGCATCCTCAAATTCATTACAGAGACTAAACTTCTAACCAGACTAAATCTTTAACTATTATCTGACATTTTTGGAGAGTAGATTTCTGGTAAGCTGCTAGATTGCCAGATGGCTGAGAATGGTTTTCTGTACACAATGACATATGGAAAATGTATACATGATGGACATGCATGCTCTCTGCAAACTCATGGTCTGTTGTACATACCAGGGTTGTTTACCAATCAGTGAAATGTGTCTTGACAGGAGCGTTCTGTTATATGTCAGAGTTTTGGAAAAGGGTCTACATTGGAAAAGTGTGCAATTAGTACCTAAAGTGATGGTTAAGATTTATCTGGGGCTTTCATTTATTTGCATGAGCTCATTTCTGTACCCTATTCTGAATTTCCTTTTTTTTTTTTTTTTTCTATTCCCAAGAAAATAAGATTGCATAACTATTTTGCCTCCTCACCAACCCCGAAACCATTAAGAATTTTAAAAATGGTAGAATGAGAATGAATGACTTATAATCGTTTCAATTCAAAATATTAACTACCTCAGCCATCTTGCTTGAGACTTCCAGCACTAAGCAGATCACTTTCTCACCAGCCTGTACAAGGGAGAATGTGGGAGTTGGTGGAAGCTCAGTTCCACTCATGGGTACGCTGTTATTAAAGTCAGCAGACTCTGTGATTACATCCCACGTACTTCTGAGGCTACACATTTGGTTCTGTAGGTTTGGAGCTTCTTGGTTGTGAGTACTAGCATTGCAGAATTCAACCACCTGGAAAAAGACAAAACATGTTAGAGTAGGAAGGCACTTCTTCCATATTAAGCATACTTTCTCATTTTTAAGAAACTAAAAGTAAAAGAGAGATGAAGTGATAGGATATCAGAAACTTCCAGTAATATAATTCTTTACATTAAGAATGACATCGCGCTTACCAATAAACCTTGGCACTCTTTCCATGAAATACTAGCACCATTATGGTCCTGAGATCATTTAAGTTTATTTGCACTTGGATAACACAAAGCAGACTACGTGTATATATATCTTAGTTTAAGAAAAACAAAAGACCACCCTCCTCAGAAGGCTATTGTGTTAAGAAAACACCCCAGAACTTTTCACAGGAGATCTTATCTTGGTCAGTCAACACTTGGTTAGGAATCTAGTGTCGGCTGCACCTTTATTGACCAGTACACATATTCTGATGTAGCAACAAATATTGATCTCTGTAAGAACAGAATGAGGAAATACCAACTTAAATGTACTTCCTGATTTTCCCCCATATGAAAATATAGATATAAATCATATAGTGAGGCTAAATCTGTGCCAGCTCCCCCCGGTGGCACAGTGGGCTAAGCATTGTGCTGCTAATTGAATGGCAGTTCAAATCCACCAGCTGCTCTGCTGTAGCAAGACGAGGTGGTCTACGTCTTTAAAGAGTTACAGCCTCAGAAACCCTGTAGGATAGTTCTACTTTGTGTTTTCTGAGGAGAATCGACTCCAAGGCAGGTTTAGCTTTCTTCTCTCTTTTTGCTTTAAGAGTCTAGTTTGCATTGCAAAGAAAGTCAACTCCAGATACTACCAGTGGCTATAAAGCTTCAGGAATCCTGGTGTGGCGCTGTAGGATAAGCACTGGGCTACAAACCACAAGGCTGTCAAGTCAAACTCATCTGCTGCTCCTCAGAAATGCTATACAGGGTCTCTGTAAGTCAGAACTGACTCGATGGCACCTTACAATAAAAACAGCACAATCTTATAAGGAGTAAATACTTTCTGCTGATAGGACTGTGGAAGTTTAAAGCAATAAGAAACCTTAGAGACCCTGCAGGCCCATCTCTAATTTCATCAGAGGAAACTTATCTCCTCAAAGTGTTCACATGCATTTCTTAGTAGGCTGAGGAGATGGAATAGAACATGGGTTTTTGTTTTGTTTGCTTTTTTTATCCTCCATTTCATAATATGCTTAGAAGAATAAGGAATTTTTCTGATAAGATATTAAAGAGTAGATATTTCAAAGAATTACAAAGATAGTACCTAGTCAAAAACAACATGGATCAAAAATGAGGAATTAGGTTGGCTTCAAATATTAAAGGTATAACTTAAAAACATAATGGATCACAAATCATAAAAATACGAACACTCACTAAAAACTACAGAATGATTGCTAGCTTGACCAAAACCAAATTTGAAGATAAAAACTTATCTAGAAAAGAATGTGTCAATGCAAAAGGCATTGGTCAGCCATGGAAACAAGCAAGGTTAATAGGAGGCCTGGAGTGAACATCCCAGCCTCATGGAGAAAGTTGACCCAAAGTGTGATTTTTGTGAAGATGGAAAGCTGTATTAGGTCAGGTCGCATGGTGTCATTCAACCTCGGAACTCACTGAAGTCCCTCCTTTCTGCTTCCTGCGGAGTATATTATCCTTCTTGAGGAGACTTCTAGAAAGAATTTCACTTTTTCATGTTGCTTCCTTTATAGAGAAAGTGAACTGGACAGAGGATGCAAATACTGAGTACCTATGTAGTTAGAATATTCTTTTTAATTAGAAAAAAAAAATGGTGTTCTGGATTCATATACTTGTCTCTTGTCAGTTAGCAGGGAATATTGACAAGGTTTAGCTCTGAAATACAAAGGTTAGTTGACTTTCCTTGGTGACGCCTAATCTTTCTTGTTAAATTCTTGCAAAACAAAGAAAAGGAATTAAGAAATGCAGTGAAAATGTAATATGGTTTGTGGTCTCAAATGAGAGAAATATTTCTCTCATTTATTATATTTATTATATTCCTTTCATTACATTTTCCTCTGAAAGGATACAGGAACACTATCATATGAGTGATTTATTTTGTGGTCTTCAGAGATTTCCTTGTGAAATCACCTTCCCTAGAAAGTAAATAACACATTTTATACAGGTGGCATCATCTTGGGATGTTCATTTGTTTGTTTTAATCTTTAAAAGAAGAACTAGATGAACTGCAAGACCCCCAAACTCTAACATATATTGGACAGTCTTATGTAAAATAGCTAAAACATGTCAGTCTATCTTGAGAGAAGGACTCTTGTAGATGTTTGTCATCCCAAGGCCATACTTACAGAAGATAAACTTTGCATGAACATTATCGATGCAGTTGCATTTTGCGTGCTATTATATATGAACATGCAACCTTCTTTGAAAAGTTTACTAATAATACAGTTCTCTTGTGGGCAAGGGCCCTTTTCACACACAAAAGTGCCTGTGATGTCCGATGAACACCTAAAATAGAAAAAAGAAATTGGTTCTATTTTAGAAATACTTGTTTCTTTTTCACTAGTTTATGTAATAATTTGTTTCAAGTACTCTAGCTTACTAGAATCCTTGAAACAAACAAAATACTTTTGAACAACTGTATTAAGAAATCTTTGTAATTTAGACATAGCTCTGGTGGCGTAGTGGGCTGTTAACTTCAAGGTTGGCAGTTCGAAACTACCAGCTGTTCCGTGGGATACAGATGAGGCTTTCTGATCCAGTGAAGATTTGCAGCCTCGGAAACCCTGTACAGGGTCAATATGAGTCAGAACCAACTCCACGGTACTTAACAACAACAACTTCACTGTATTTCTGTGTATTTGTATAGTAAATATATAGGTGACAAAACACTTGCCATTTCTATCGCCTTCACAGGCACGTGTCAGTGACATAGTTTGTGTTCATCATGTTGTTCAGCCATCAACATTCATTGTTCCTTATCTTTCTATCACCCTTAACAGAAGCTTAGTGTCCCCTAAGCATATGTCTTCCCTTCCTTCTTCCTCTGATCATCCTTGTTAACCAAGTCTACTGCCATCAAATTGATTCCAACTCATGTTAAGTGCCATCGAGTCAGTCACAACTCATAGCAACCCTGTATAGGGGTTCTGAGGAGCAGCTGGTGGGTTTGAACTGCCGACCTTGTGCCTTGCAGTCCAGTGCTGATCCTATAGCACCACATCAGGAGTCTAGTATATGTATATTTATGAGACTGGAAATCTTTGTGAGATCAGTCTCATCTTTTCCCCATGGAATAGCATGTGGGTTTGAACCACTATGCTTGAGTTTAACAACCCAACACCTAACCCACAGCACTACCAAGTATCCCGATAACCACTAATAAACTTTGATTTTTATACATTTACCTGTTATAGTAATATGTTATATAAGTCTTACTGTATTTTTTAAAGTATTTGATATGGATGAAGGGATTCTGTATTGCCAAGAGTTATTGAAATTAATCATGGTGAAAGCAAAAGATCCCAGGCAATCAAGAAGAATTTTTGGAGACATAAATGGCATATGCTACTTGGTGCTCTACTGAGCTCATTTCCCACTGGTTATCAGGGTAAGAAGAGAATAAACATGTAATGGTTGTATTTAAAAGGATTCCTTCCTAACTAAGCAATCTTAATCACTGTTGGTGGGAGTGAAAAACAGCACAACCTTGAGGAGAGAAACCTGTCAATATTTACCAAAATGATGGTTGAAGGTACCATTTGATCCAGGAATTCTTGAAAGCTATTCAATAGAAAGATAGTTTCCCACATACATGAGAAATGACATATGTGATGTGCAGTATTATTGATAATAAAATATTTGATAAATTACAGTACATCATATAAAGAAAGACTATGCAACTATATATGTATGTTGTTAAGTGCCATGGAGTTTGTACCGACTCACAGCGACCCTTTATAAGGTTTCTGAGGAATGACTGGTGAGTTTGAACTGTCAAAGTTGCAGTTCAAACCAACTTTGTGGTCCAGTGCTTATCCTACAGCATCACACCAGGACTTGCTCTCTCTATATATACATATATGTGTGTGTGTGTTATCATTAAGTGCTGTTGAGTTGGTTCTGACTTGTAGTGACTCTGTATAGGATTTCTGAGCAACAGCTGGAGAGCTTGAACCACCAACCTTGTGGTTCAAATTGACCTTGCAGTCTATATATGTATATATGTGGCACTGTAGGATAAGCACAAGGTCAGCTTGGTTCAAAATCACCAGCCACTCCTAGGAAACCTTATGCAGGGTTGCTGTGAGTCAGAAATGACTTGATGGCACTTAACAACAATTTTAAGATAACAACAATTTACAATTTTTTAAAAATGCAATAAAAGTTTAAAAACTGAAATGATCTCTTCCTATCATCTATGTCTTAGTCACCATTATAAATTTAAAGTCAAATAAATAAATGACTTTTAAAGATGAGAAAAGTACTAACCTTGTCACTTTAATCTGATTTTGTCCATTTATATAGAGTGGTTTCTCATTGTTATATTCATCAAACACACCCCAACGGAGATGGGCCCATTCGTGGACAAACACTCTACCTGTGGAAGAGAAAGCTATTGAGTTCTTCATCTCAGTGATGGGAATTGCTAAGCAATAAATATGTAGTATCATTGGATATATAAATGAAACGATACAGGAATTTTTCCCATGAATTTATTGAAGTCAACTTGAATATACACTATAATTTCAAAGAATTGAAATTTGATTCTCTCTCCCTGGCCCCTTTTTCATCTCCTCCTACTCCATTCTCTACCATCATGAAAGAGACAATGTTTAATCTTGTAAATGCAAACCAGTGCTTTATGTGTTGCATATCTGTTCGAAGCTAATGAGGAGTGCCACATCCTTTAATTTCTCGGATGACCTGCCGAACAGGTTCTTATTTAGCTTCAGATAAGTTTCTAAGTTCAGAGTTTGGAAAAGCAAGCAAAAAAAAAGGCAAATCAAAAAAGCAAACTACCTTCTCCTTTAATCTGTTATTCATGTATGTTGTTGTTGTTGTTAAGTGCTGTCGAGTCAGTTCCAACCCACAGCGACCCTGAACAGGATTTCCGAGGCTATAAATCTTTACGGGAGCAGAAAGCCTCATCTTTCTCCCACAGAGCAGCTGGTAGTTTCGAACTGCTGACCTTGTGGTTCACAGCCTGATTCGTAACCTGCTTTCATTTATAGGCAATTCTCTTATCTAGAACAATGACTGGCACACTGGGGTTAGGAGGGAGGAGGAGCAGAAAAGATCATAGTACCCCCTCTCTAGCTTTGCTGGTCCTTTCTCTTTTATTTTATACCTGATTTGCCTCATCTCCAACATAACTCAAAGTAACCCATCCTCCCCATCAAGTACTGTGTAACTTTCTCTGTCTTGCTTCAAATCTTAAATTTCCTTCAAAGTTCAAAGCAAAACTTATTTCTCCGTAAAAACTTTCCAGACTTACTTCCCTCCCAACAGGGTGGCTCTCTGTCTTTTCTTCCTTTCTTCCTTTTTTTCTTTCCTCTGAATGCTTTTAAGTTCTGGGAACTCAAGAAGTGTTTTCTAAATTGACTCATTCTGTGGTATATTGCGTAATTTTTAATCCTTAGGACAAAGAAAGGGAGGGGAACCATCCAAGCTGAAAGTGTTAAGGAAATATTTGTGCCTACTCATGGATTTCAGAAGTGCTAATGAAGTAATTTTCTTGGGCAGAGACTATCAGCACCCCATGACTATTAGCGAAAAATCAGTTTATGTAGAATTCTTGTAAAATATTTTATAAAATGTGTTATATAGAGTGTGTTCCTCTATACACAACATAACAAGATCTATATACACTTAAGTGGGGGTAGAAAGGAAAGTATCATTTGAAAGGCGTATGTTGAAGAAGCCCTGGTAGTGTAGTGGGTTACATGTTAGGCTACTAATCGCTAGGTCAGCTGTTCGAATCCACCAATGACTTTATGGGAGGAAGATGAAACTTTCTGTTCCCGTAAAGATTTACAGCTTAGGAAACCCTCTACAGGGTCACTATGAGTCAGAACTGACTTGAGAGCACACCACCACCATCACCACCACTGTATATTGAAATTAAAAACAAAAAAATTAAGTATGGAGCAGTTAGAGTTTGACCTGCTAATCTTTCCTCACTGCAACTTCTCTCTCAGATCTTGGTCACTAAATACCAGTCTTTTCTATGGAAGACAATGTGGCTCTGACTTCCCTCCTAAACCCCAGCCATCCATGCTCCATCACAGGCTGGGCCTTTCTACAATTAACTTGTCTAAATCCAGACTTGTGGCTCTCTCTTGTAAATTTGCTCCTTCTATTTCTGACTAACACTTGAGGCATGCCTTCATGCAGTCCACACCCCTTGGATTTCACTCTCTAGCAGCTCAGACCTCTGTTTCCCTCTTTTTTTCTGTTCTTTTCCCTCTGGAATATCTCTCATTACTTAGAGTAAAAAATAACACATTGGAAATGCTCATTATTCTTATTAACTGATGTTCTCATTCTCACTACCTCCACCTGTGCTCAGCAACTGATGGTCTCATAGCTGCCCTGCTCCTAATGATTCTTCTGGGATCCAGATTTTGGTATCCAAACTTTGTTTCTTATATTTCAGACATATGATGAGAAGGGACCAGTCCCTGAAGAAGGACACCATGCTTGGTAAAGTGGAGGATCAGTGAAAAGGAGGAAGACGTACAGTGACAGCAGTGAGGAACGATAGTGACATTGGCATAGGGTTGGGCAGTGTTTTGTTCTGTTGTGCATAAGGTGACTATGAGTCCACACCGACTGTAAGGCACCTAACAGAAACAGCAACAACATCCAGTTTCTACTTAATTCATCTGTCTTATATACACAGTCAGATTAATCTTCTTGAAACACTACTTTGATGATGTCACTCGTGTGCTTACCAAACTTCAGTGGTAACCTGTTAATTTGAGTATTTAAGGTTCTCAATATCCCAACCCTGATGTGTATTTCAGCACTTTCCCCTACTACTGGCCACTTTTAGTTCAAAGTGGTCTTTCTGTTCACTGACTACTTCTAGTATATTCCATCTGGACCACTCATCTGGAGTGTACCTTTTCCTGGCCCACATTGTTTGCCATCTTTTCATGGGCATGTGACCCATCGCCTCATGAAAATGTCAAATCCTTGGAGCTTTCAGATACTTTAAGTTTCTTTTAGCACTAAACACCAAAAACAAAAACAAACACAAACACCCTAGCCCTGTTGCTTTCAAGTTGGTTCTACTCATGGTGAAAGCATACATTCCAAGTAGAACTGCTCCATTGGAATCTCTTGACTTTAATCCTATGGAAGTAGAATACCAAATCTTTCTTTCACAATGCTTCTTGGTGGCTCAAACTGCTAAGCTTTAGGCTACTGTTATTGTTGTTGTCAAGTGCCATTGAGTCAGTTCTGACCTGTAGCGACCCTATATAGGGTTTCCAAGGAGTGGCTGGTGAGTTTGAATGGCCAACGTTGTGGTTCAAACCAACATTGCAGTTCAGCACATTAAACCACAGAGCCACACCTGGACTCCTGAGTGCAAATCATTTATACTACCCAGTGACCAAACACAGAATATTGTAAACTGTACTGTTCAGTGGTGATTTCTTCATTGATTGAACTTACCTCGTGGTCCATAGCCAGCAGTAAAATCACTGTTTAGTAGAAAATTAGGAGTGAAATGAATGTATTTTCCCTCTTTCCCACATCCTCTGTACTGTAGGGTATATGGATCATCACCATGTGTCCCATACCAGTGAGCCACAATGACATTTGCCTAAATTAAAAAGCAAAACAAAACAAAAAAAAAACAACCTCATGATATTCTATATCTTGACTGAGATATTGGTGAAATGAGGGCATAACACTATAAATAGTTAAAAATACTTTGAACTTTACACTTAACAATGGTGCATTTTACTGCATGCAATTATACTCCAATTTAAAAACTTTTAAAAAATGCCATGAAGGTAGAATTTGAAATACACACACATGTATACACACATATATAAATATTGTGGGGGCTTTAGGATAAGCACTGGACTGCCAACCACAAGGTCAATGCTTCAAACTCACTGTTCCTCAGGTATCCTATGTAGGCTCGCGATCATTCAGAATTGACTGGAAGGCACTTAACAACAACAAATACATACACATTATGCAGATAATATATAAAAACATATATATGTGTATAAGTGTGTGTACATGTATATATTGCTTTTGTTGTATATATATACATACACACACACACACATGATGTGAATCAAAAATTATCTGCACTCTGGTTAGGTTAAAACTTCTGTTGGCTGCACTGTCTGATTAGTACTTTCCATTCAAGGTCAGTGCTATGCAGGTGTGAACATGGACATCTGCAAACAAAATTTGGACCGATACTCGAAGGAAGGTAAAAGTTTCTGAAGTAAATCTTTACTGGTAACAAGATATGGTTTCATCACTAGGAATCAGAATAAATAGCAGACCATGGAATGGAAACATCTTCAATGGCCAACCAAGAAAAGTTCAAAAGTCAACCTTCAGCTGGAAAATTGATGCTTATAGTTTCTGGGATTCTCAAGGATCAGTATGGTACCATTATCAAGAAAAAGGTTCAACAATCAGCAGTGTTAGTTACAGTGAGATGCTCACTGAAGAACTGAAGCCTAAACTTTGGATTAAATATAGAGGACTGCTATCTAGGGGAATTGTGATCTTGCATGACAATGCATGCCTGCACACCTCTGCCCACAGACTTGACACTTTGCAAAAACTTCATTTTGAGGTGATAAAGCATCCTCCCTATAGTCCTGATCTTGTTCCATTGGATTTTCACCTGTTTGCTCACCCTGAAAGCAGCCCTTCGAGGACAAAGATTCACCTCTGATGAAGAAGTGAAGACAGGGGTGCGTTTGTGGCTCACAGTTCAGCCTAAAACATTTTTAAATAAGGGAATATGAATGCTTATTGAGAGATGGACAAAATGTATTAAAAAGCAAGAAGTCAAAAAAT